GGACGAGGGCTGTAAAATTGGCTATTAAATGCTCTATGAAAACTTTCAGCGGCATTGGTTGTTCTAGAGATTTAATTCATTCTCTTGTATATCTAAGTTACAAATAACATTTGGTGAATCCGATAAACATTAAAAATCAACTGAATCAATCGTTCAGTCAAAAAGGTATAATAACGCTCTTAAATCTTAATCGTTCGATAGCCGCGCGCGATTATCGTGCTCAAATTATTGTTTGATTAAATTTGTCAGAGTTGGAAAAAAATAAAAATATCTAGCGTTCTCAGTCATGTTACTTATATATAATATATATATTACTTATATATGTTACTTATATCTAGCGTTCTCGATTGTATTTTACCACTAGATACTCTAGTACTCTATCTTGAAGTAATCGTAGATACTTTAAACTTTCATTTACATGACATTATCTTAACTCTTTTTGAGCTATTTATAGGCATAAGAAATTTTCAATTTATTTTTGTTTTTTCTATAAATATTGATAAAATATTACAATTTTCCGCTGGGTCAAAAAACTTAAAAATTGAATACATGGTAGGTACTCCATTTTATAATAGTAGTTTATAAATATTAATGTTACATGGAAACGATTAATTTTTTTTTATAAGAATTTTAAATTTAGATTTCTACAAAATTCTCGATGAATTCATAATTATTTGCCATTAATTTTGTAGGTTCCTACCTAGTTAAAAATTAAATATTAATTATTTATAGCTAAGGATTAAAAACAAAGGCACTCATAAGTATTTTATACTCTAACCAAATAATCTGAAAAATACATAATAGTAGTTTTTTAAATAGATATTTGAAGTTGAAATTTGAACAAAATTATATTATACTATATAATCAAGGAATAACAATTTTTGTAATCTTGTATTTTGAAACAAATACCTGGAAGTATGTAAGAATAAACTTTAAATTCAATAAAATTCTTTGTAAGATTATATTTATTAAGCATCCACTGCAATAATATGGTAAAATATGGAAAAAATCTCAATTTTTTTTAATACTGATATACCTAATCAAAAAATTCTGCATTAAATGGATTTTATGTGGAGCATAACACTCAACATTATTTGAAATCAGTTATAAAAACGTTACAAATTATAAAATATAAACTTGTACTCACATGATTATATATGCACTTGCATAACCATAGTCCATGTCTTACAAGTCCATTAAAATAAAATCGACTAAAAGGACTACGTAAATTAAGCGTTCGTGTGACAGAACAAAAATGAATAAGTATTTTATTTATCCTTGCAATATAATATAAATAAATACTATTTTACATTTATTTTTTTTAAATGAAATTTCTAAAACTTTAAATATACGATTAAACACCATTTTATAAAAAATAATGGTTCCATTCAATTAAAATGTGCAAAATTATTGACATATCTAAATGACAAACAATTTATTTGGACTAAAGAAAAAAATACAAAAGCATAGAAACCTTAATCCCAATCATAATTCATCACGAACAATAGAATCATAAATTATTTCGTAGTTCAAAGTTTTAAAATGTTTATAGCTTAGGATTGAAAATTTAAAACAAGATTTCTCCTAAGTAGGTACTTTAATTAAATACATTTTTTAAGGTACCTAATATCTATGATAAATTCACAGTCTTGCATATAGTACTTTTATTGGTACCTATATTCTGGTGTATAGTATTTTTATTTACTCAGGTAATTATAGTTATTTAATACGTAYACATGATGKCACATAATTGCAGGTTTTAGATTTAGATGCACAAATAACTACATTATTACTGATAATTTTAAGAGCTTTACTCCTGAATGATTAATTCGGGTTTATGTTTCTGCAGGTATCTGTATCTCGTAATATTATGGTACTATATACATGATATTACGATATCTGTAACATTGCATATTATCATGTATTCAAAAACTTGAAACAATTATAACCATTCGTAATCGTTATTATTCCACGTTATTTAGGGTTTGTAACCTATATGSCTATATAGTACACACACACACACACTATATGATTGACCTATACAAAATATATGAGACACACTCAATACATTTCTACCCCTACATATTATTACTTATTATTAAAATGACAGGCAGTTAGCTCAACATTACAGTAACTATCAACAGAAGCTAGTGAACTCGTCTATATTAACAGTCACCTGCATGTTCAGTAGAATATTGCATTAGTGTTATTTAGTACAAGGAAAAGTTAATTTTAAAACTATGTAGGTACCATTTTTTTTTAGATATTCCTTAGAATATAATTTAATTGTCGTAAAATACTACTACTAATAAACGATACTATACTAAATAAATGGATAAACAAATAGCATGGTACATTAATGTTGAMATAAGATATCGATAACGAGAAATAATTAATAAAAACTTATAGAAAAATGATTTCTGTCAAAGTGTCAATCATTTATTAATTATTGTTGTTCGATAACCAATTACGAATTTTAACTAACAACATAAAATATAGATAGATACAAATTTTTATGATACTGTTTAACAGAGTGATTTGTATTTTGTTATGGTTTCAGTTATTTCGGATGTAAAGCCTTGCATCTTGTATATGAATAAAAAAACAAAATATACTCACTTATAATAATCCAAAAATTTGACTGTCCTACTTTGTAAACTTTTTCACTTAATATTGAAATAACTAAAAACTATTTAACTTAGATTTTTTTTTACTTTTATACCTATTTTTTAAAACATTTTATCGAGGTCAAATGAATAAACACCTATAAAAAGCATACTTACTAGGAAGTTGTAAAATATTTAATTAGATTTATGTGGAAATAAACTAAATGTACCATTTTATAGTACATATTACGACATTTGTTATTGTTATGGAATTTTATCGATATTATCGCAGAAATCATGAATATTTTATGATTAAAGTGAAAAATTAATGGTTTTTAACTGGGTGCACTTTTATGACAAATTGTATTTTGTTATTAATAGGTAACTGATAACTGTTCAGTGAGTATTTATGTTTTTATTTAATGTGTACACAAAAAAATATAAAACTTTGAATACTTCATAAAAAACAATTAAAACATT